CTCCCCTCCCTCATTATTGTAAGCCGCCCTGAGTCCCCTCAGGGAAAAGGGCGGCCTATTAGTGTTCAATAAGTGTTCAATAAAGTGTTCAATAAAGACTTCTCCCAACAATTGCTACTTGTGCTTATCAATACAGAAGAATTTTTTTTTTAGTTAAAACAGCAAATTCTAAGTCAATGTGTGATTGTAGTATTGCAAAGATTTCTAACTGATGGTTGTGTTCACCACTGAAAGAATGGCTGTTGCGGATAGAAATAAACATTCATATTACTAATCAATGTTTTTAGTGCATTTAACGCTTTTGAAACATTTTATGCATGAGATCATTATCAAGAAGTTGCTCATTTGGGGCGTTTCTGTTCTAAGCACCCACCATTTTTTTTCAGTTTTCTTTTAAGAATCCTTCAGCATTCTGTGTCCACTGCCCTCAGTGACACGATTAGTCATTATAGAACTTTGGGGTGGAGCAAGGAATCATTCTTGAGGTTTATTTTTCCTTGGAAGTTTTGAAAACCTCAAATCAAGTTATTTTATGGTCGTAAACCAGCATCATAGACCTCAAGAATTTCCTTCAAACTTTCTGAAAGTTCTCCTTTTGGGGGGGGGGGAGAGGGCTATATAAAATTGAAGGGTCCTTGGGGCTCTCTGAACTGGATTGCTTTCCCGCAGACATTTCATTACCCAAGCTCTAGATGCAGTGGTGAAATTCAATTTTTTTTTTTACTACTGGTTCTGTGGGTGTGGCTTGGTGGGCGTGGTGTGGCTTGGTGGGTGTGGCAGGGGAAAGATACAGCAAAATCTCCATTCCATCCTACTCTGGGGCCAGCCAGAGGTGGCATTTGGTGGTTCTCCGAACTACTCAAAATTTCCGCTACAGGTTCTCCAGAACCTGCTGGATTTCACCCCTGTCTGGATGCACTGATGACGTTACCTAGTATGGTAGCGAAATGTCTGCGAGGCAACAACCAAGCTAAGAGAGCACCAGGGACCCCTTCATTTCAACCCAAAGCTACAAATATTCTCCTTTATTGATACATAAAATTATTTAGACTGCCCTGAATAAAGAAGATACAGGAAACAGAAGGTACTTAATAAAGGTAGGCTCCAGAATATTCATTTTTCTTTACCTTTCTTGATCCCATGCAGCTTAGTCCATGGCCTGACTATATTAACCAGCGTTTGGAAATGTATCATAAACTTAAAGCAGAACATGATACTCTTCTGGCAGAGCGAGCTGCTAAAGACAGCCAGCCCATTAAAGTGACCTTACCCGATGGCAAACAAATTGATGCGGAATCCTGGAAGACTACACCATACCAAATTGCCTGTGGGATCAGGTATATTTTACCTTTAGAAAATTCGTATTGCATTTACAGTTCATCGATGTGTGCATTTAATTTTTAATCACGTCCTAACCATGTTCTTCTCAGTCACTCTTTATAGCACTCCATTTTTCCGTATTGAGGGAACATCTTAATGACTTCCCTACTTAATTGTACACAGGAATAAACCGGTGTTAATGTTTTTTTAAAAACTTAAATGTAACCCAGTGATGCAATTTTAAGATCTACGCATTCTGTGCTACTTTGTACAGCCCAGGAAACGTATTTTGAGGAAAAAAACATTTAAGTAAGACAATTATGTAATTTTAAAAAATCTAGCTATGTTGTTTTCTGATCTTGTAGATGCCATGCGGACATTTCTGACATTATAGTTAGGAAGAGATCAGAAGTGTGACAACAGCCAGTGAATTAGGTGTTGACAAAAAACAACAAATATATAGTCCAGATGTTGCTTTCTGTTTGTATACTTTATTTTATACTTCATCATTAGTTATTGTCCTTTCTAATTTAATCTGAAATCAGACACATAGCTAGTGTAGAGCCTCAATAGAATTTACTTCTTGAATTATACTTTTTCCAAGGCTATTTGTTGTTATTTTTACTTTAGGAAATAATATGATTTTTTGAAATCTTTAAAACCTAGTCTTTAAAACCATTCATCAGAGCAATAGAACCAAAGGGACACTCCTATATTCTCTAACTGTGGCCCTCAACCTTCTGGGCACCAGGAACTGGTTCAGTGGAGAGAGGATTTTGGATGGCCCAGAGGGGGCTCAGTTTCATATGCTGCCTGCATCCTGCAGATGGCGCTTTCGCCTATTTACACGGCCTGGTTTCTGGCATGTCATGGACCGGTGCTGGCGCTCTAAGTGTCCCTGGACCTTATAAAATGCTTTCTATTGTTTTCTTGTTCAATGCATTCCCTCAGTATTTTTCATGGCAGTGTTGCCTGGTTTTCATAGGCCATTTGTTGCCATTTCTCACCTTGCGTGTTTGTGACATCTGATGAGATAAGTAGTTGTGTTCTGATAAATTCCAAATACCTTATTTTTCGGAGTATAAGACGCACCCTTTTCCCCCAGGCTGAAAATCTGGGTGCATCTTTTACACTGAATACAGCATTTTTGGCCTCCCGAAACCCTGCCCCCTTTACCAAAATCGCCGTGGAGAGCTTCTAGGAAGCTTTCAGAGTGCTCGTAGGGCCTGGGAAGTACAGAAATGAGCAAAAAACAGCTCGTTTTTTGCTCAATTTTACCCCTCCCCCAGCCTCTAGGAACACTCTATTAGCTTCCTAAAGGTTATCCATGCATTTTTTTGGCAAAAAACCAGAAGGTTTTTTAATTGTTTTTTGGGGGGGGCCACCCCACCTCATTCTGCAAGCTTCCTAAAGGCTATTCATGCCATTCTTCGGGGGAAAACGGGCCCGTTTTCATGAAAAACGGATCGTTTTTGGGAGGTTTGCAGAGTGCAAAAACTTTTTTTCTTAATTTGCCTCTTCAAAACCTTGGTGCATCTTTTACTCCAAAAAATATGGTAATATACTTATTATTCAGGATCAGTTTGAATAAATTATCAAAATTTGTCTCAATGCACATTCCAGAAACACCTTTGTACCAAAATAACACATAAATATTTCCCTGATATCAGGATAAAGGTAAATGTTCCCCCCGCACATACGTGTTAGTCATTCCTGACTCTGGTTGGCGGTGCTCATCTCAGTTTTAAGCCAAAGAGCCAGCGCTATCCGAAGATGTCTCGGTAGTCATGTGGCCAGCATGACTAAACGGCAAAGGCACACGGAACACTTTTACCTTCCCACCAAAGTGGTCCCTATTTTTCTACTTGCATTTTTACATGCTTTCGAACTGCTAGATTGGCAGAAGCTGGGACAAGTAACGGGAGCTCACTTTGTTACACAGCGCTAGGGATTTGAACCGCCAAACTGCCGACCTTTCTGATTGACAAACTCAGCATCTTAGCCACTGAGCCACCGCGTCCCGTCGATATCAGGGTATACTACCTTATAAAATAATATTTAAATAATGAAAATGAGTTTGGGGATTTTTTTTCCCCTGTTGCCATTGAGAATAAACAAGCAGTAGAAAAATTGTGTTAATATGCACCAACATGATTATTTTTTTCATACTTTTAGTCAAGGTTTAGCTGACAACACGGTTATTGCTCGAGTGGATAAAATGGTTTGGGATCTTGATCGTCCTCTGGAGAAAGACTGTACCTTGGAATTACTCAAGTTTGATGACGAAGAAGCTCAAGCAGTAAGTAATCAATTCAGTTGTATTAAAGGAACAGCCTGAGCAGGTGGGAGCACCTGGCTAACCTGTCCAGGATTGGAAGCTAAGTCAGACCAAGTGTTCTGACCTAGGCTTCCCCAAAAAGCACGAAGCAGATTCCTGGTTCCGACAAAAACCCCTTTATTAAACAAATGTGAATTCCTCTCATTCACATTCAG